CTAAATCAGTTACTGTCGGACCAGTTGTCTCACATCAGACATCATCTCACCTCTCATGCCATCACCCGATCGGTGGTCAACACTATGGATGAAGAATTCGCGGGACATCTGTTGCATCAGTCGAGCCTTTGGGGCAATCATGAGCTCTTGGAGGACCTGCTCTCTGGACCACAGGTTTGCCACCTTATCTTCGGTGTGTCAGACATTGCGTGTATTAACCGATTATCAATTGTGTGACCAATAGATCCAATACCTGAACGCAACCGACTCTAAAGGCCGGACAGCACTTCAGGCGGCCGTCTGTTGTGACAGCGAGTCCTGCACTCGGATTCTTCTCACCCGCGGAGGTCTGTCTTTCTTCACTCATTGTTACCATTCATTTCATACATACTATTCATTTGCTACCAAAAAATGCCGACATTTCTATTAATAACACATTTATTGATTTGAGTCCAACTCTAACATTAAAAGCTGGCTTTTAGTCAAAACAATGCATTTCTTATAACAATAGTTGGGATTTAATTGAGATATTTGTCTCATATTATGGTTTCAAATGAATGGCAAATATTTCTTTTGTCACTTTCAATGCCATTATCTATCATTCAATCAATTCTTTGTATTCTTTAAATATCTCTAATTTTTAAAGATATCTCTGGTTTAAAACAGGGTTTTATTGTTTTTAAATATACGCTATCTTTTAATTATGAAATTGAAGCAAACAATGAATTTATTCCTTAAATTATTATTATTATTATTATTTCCTCAAATGATACGCGTATGGGTCGACCCAAACATTGCAAACAAGTCTTAAATTGACATTTATAACAATTTAATTTAGTTTATATAACTTCATTTGAAAATTGCCTCAACAACCAGTGCTTGCGTTGTGTTAGCATATTATATAACACTGTATAGTCGTTATGCTATTTATTTTATAAATAATTTATTTAATCATAAGTTTGTTTTACTTTTTAAAAGTTAATATTAAGTTTTATCAAATGTTTGCTTATTTTGCAATTGTTGTAAAAAACCTCTCCTTCTATGAAACAAAAGCCGATCCAAATATAGGACAAGTAAATGATCCGCAAAACAACATAATTGGAAAGGTATTAAACGCTTCACTAATTGTCAAAACGTTGTGTGTATTTAACAATACAAATGTCTGTTTGTATGGTTAGAGTCCTCTACACATCGCCGCAGAGAATGGAAACATAAATATTATAAAACTATTACTCGAACACAAAGTGGATGTCTTGGCAAAGGATGGCAACGGGTTTACAGCTATGGATATCGCCGAACAAAGTGGACACAAACTGGTTATGCAATTGCTTAAAGATGCTGTCGGTATGTATCTCTCATTAGACACTCATTTTGTTTTATATTTTTAATGTTTTGTAAATTATAATTTATTTTAATTTAATACTACTTGACTAATGATTAGCTGTAATATCATTAAACAACACAGATTTTATTATTTTTGTTTATAAAATGTTATATTATTCGCAGAACACATATGATATGAATTTTGTTGAACTCATATAATTGGCAAAAATTATTTATTTAAATGTTTGAACAGATAATATGGAGAGAATTCGTCAGGATTTGTACGAATCTCTTGCCATTTACTGTTCAAAAGGCAATGCAGTGGAAGCGGTTGACATACTTGCAAAGATTGGAACCGATGCTGAAGTGATCGTGAATAAGACGCCCAACGGTTGCAATACATTGCTGTTCAGGGCCTGTCAGGACGGTTACACAAATATTGTTGAGTTGTTGATCAGCAAAGGAGCCGACGGTCGCATACATCCGGTCACCAAATACTCGCCCCTTTATATCGCCTCATATTTGGGGCGCAAAGAAATCGTCGAAATTCTTTTAAATCATTTCCCAAATCTGGTGAATGTGTCTACTGTTGAGAAATGGCTGCCAATACACGCGGCGGCCATTAATAATCACCTGAATGTCATCGATTTGCTGCTGAATTTTGATTACCCGAAGTCTAATCTTCAAACTTTTCACGACAAGAACAAACAATACGAGTATTACATGCCGTTTGATATCAACGCCCAGGACGTGACCGGACAGACAGTTCTCTATGTGGCCGCACTCGTCGGCAATCAGCGTCTCATTGACTTTCTATTGAGTTTTAAAGTCTGTGCGATTCGGTTGGAAAAGCAAAGCGATAAACAAACTGACTGTGAAGTCAAAAGTGATAAAAATAGCCCTAATTGTGGTGATAGTAAAGACGTTACTATTTGTGATTCAACTAATTCTAGTCCAACCAAACAAAGATCTGCGGTCCAAAAGATTATGGATAAACTCAGTCCTACTTCTCCTACTTTTGATAGAAATGTGATTTACGTTAAGAACAATCGCTTGAGTAAAGAGTCAAACTCACCGATAAAGACGTCCGTAAATCCGGTTATATTAGACATCTATAGTAACAATAAGAGCGAAACTCCACTCCACGCGGCAGTCGCTAAGAAACACTATCCGATCGCTTCGGCACTACTAACGCACGGATCTAATCCCAATCTCGCCGTTCATCTCAATTGTGACGAGAGATCGCAAACTGAAGACCAGACCTCCACTTCACTGAAAGAGGCGATACGTAATCGCGACGCTTCTATGGTTGACCTCTTGATTCGATTTGGCGCTCGCGATGATGACTGTCTCGCTCTTAAAGTGGCCTCAAATAATGGCGACAATCATCTTATGGCCAAATTACTGTCTCTCAAATCACATCCCGACCCGGAGTACAAGATAAACAAGAAGGCGCTTCAATTTAACACCGGTTCCGGAGGAGTGGGTTTTGTTGGTATGAATGAAGTTATAGTTATTTTAAATCTATATTATAATGAATTTTTCTTTTCTTTTAAGGGAATATAACATTTAGTTCAATGTTTCCAACAATTCCTGTGATGATTAACTGGCATTCATTAAAAGGGTTGACACATCTTCGCAAACAATGGCTTATCGACGCATCCATTGCTCACAATATCAAACTGAAACTCAATTTGCAAAATCAAGTGACGGCTATCACTGCAATCACTCGACTCGATCTATCAAACAATGAGTTAAAGCAATTGCCATTTTGTTTGTTTCAAATGCCATCACTAGTTATCATGAATTTATCGCAAAACAATTTGGAAACCCTTCCGGAGACGGACACCGACTTATTATCGCCACTCGAGGCCACAAAGTCTGGATTCTCTCGACTCAGGAAATCAAGAAGCTATTCATCGACCCTCACGTCACACAGTTCCTCCAATCAAAGCAATGGTATCACTCATTATCAGTCATTCTTTGCCTTTCATAAGTTGCTTAACTATTATGTTATAATATGCTTCTAATATTTCGTTTCATTCCTATTGTAAAGTCTGGTCACTTCCTTCACTCCAAGAGCTTTATCTTCAGGACAATTGTTTGGAATGCATTCCTAAGTCTTTGTTTGAATTACAATCTCTTCAACTCATTGGTAAAGCGAATGAAATCAATTTTCTTCAGTTACAACTACTAATTATTGACAATATTATTGAATATTTGAATCGATAGATTTGTCCAACAATAAGATCCATTCCTTGCCCTACGCTTTCTGGACGGCACCGAAGTTACGAGAAATTAATCTTTCATTGAATTTATTGCGTGATCTTCCCGTTCGCGTCACTTCTACTCCCATCTCATTATCACCGAAACATCTAACGAATGATCTATTGCTAGAAAACGCGATAATCAATGAAAGCGTTGAAATGGATGACAAAGAATCGGATTGTGAACAGAAAGTGACCGCAAATTTAGTTCAAAAAGAGGTGAATCGTGTGAATCTGTGGAACCAAAACGTTGAGGTCGTGGCCGTCGCCCACAACGACGAGGAATCGGATGCGCGACAAAACTGTAAATTAGTTTCACTTAATCTATCACACAATGGATTCCAGAGAATACCTCCCACTCTGTCGTGTTTGGCCGTCAATTTGACGCGACTTAATATGAGTTACAATTGTTTGCAATCCTTGGGTTGTGTCAAATCTTTTCCACTCACTATTAAACACATAGACTTATCTCATAACCAGATCTCCGAATGGTTTAGAGTTGATTTCGACGATAAATCTGCCACTTATTCAGAATATAATTCTTGTTTTTGTGATTTAAATCAAACGGTGTCTCCAATGTCAAAGTCCAGCACCACTTCCATGAAAACTTTAAAAACCAATTACTGTTGTATTCATAAACAACACAATCGTTTAGATAACTTAAGAACTCTTATTCTGTCCAACAATAAATTGACTCAAATTGTCATCAATTGTGAAGAAAAAGATATAAAAAACGAAGAATTTGAGAGATTAGATGAAAATAATGCACTTATTAAAGGTATTTATTATAATAGAAAACAATTTGGGCCTAAACTAACAAAATTACATTTCAGGACTTAGATATAATAAGTTGCTTTTTGCGAACCTATCGATGCTCGACGTGTCCAACAATCTAATAACAGAAATTTGTCAAAACATTAGCGATTTGTCTAATCTATCGGTTCTCAATCTGTCGGACAACAAAAGCATATGTTATTTACCGCCAGAAATGGGTTTATTGAATAAATTATGGAATCTCAGCACAAGAGGCTGTAATCTCACCGAACCTTTGAAAACAATGATTGAAAGCAAAAAATACAAAACAATGGATATAATTGGATATTTAAAATCTATTTTGGAAAAGTTAGTGCACTTTAGTAAGGGTTTGTATTTTACTCAATGTTTTATTGTGTAATTTTAGTGCCAAACCATACGCCAGAATGAAGCTAATGATTGTTGGCGTTCAGGGCATTGGAAAGACTTCTCTTTTGGAACTGCTTAGACAAGAGGGCGGCGGTTCTTATAAGCGAAAACCTCCCGAACATTGGGCCAAACGAATGGGTAATAAGAACGTGAATATGAAGACTCCGCGCGGAGTGACGCTCTCAACGGTTGGCGTCGATGTCTGCGAATGGACTTTCGAGAAGAAAGTGAGAGGACAGCCATCCTTTGGCGCCGTTTCCTTTAGGACGTGGGATTTCGGGGGTCAACGAGAGTATTACGCGACTCATCAGTATTTCCTGTCGAAGAGATCTCTATATTTAGTCGTCTGGAAGATTATAGACGGCGAGAGAGGTGTCGACGGAATATTCCAGTGGTTGGTCAACATCCAGGCGCGCGCTCCCAACTCTCCCGTCATTATAGTTGGCACTCATTATGATTTGGTTAAGGAATACTTTCCGCCCTTTTATGCCGAAGAATTGCAACAAAATATACGCCAGAGGTTTATGAATGTCGTCGACCCCGACAAGTGTGGTCTTCCGCGAGTCATCGACTCCATTGAAATCAGTATCAAAACTAAACATAATATAAAACTGTTATGTAATCTCATTTACGACACTGTGTTTGAGTTGAGATGTCCGGGAAGTAAAGAGCGTCTACTCGAACAGAGAGTTCCGGCCACTTATCTGGCGCTCGAAGACGTTGTTTCCTATTTAGCATTGGAACGAAAACAAGAGGGAAAGGATCCGGTGTTGCGTTCAGAACAATACAAGACAGCAGTGATCGGAGAAATGATGAATCGATACGGAATGACATTCAGAGATATGTCTGAATTACATTCGGCCACAATATTTCTCCACGAAAACGGAGTTCTACTTCATTACGAAGACTCCACTCTTAAAGATATATATTTTCTGGACCCGCAGTGGCTCTTCGATATGTTGGCACATGTGGTCACTATTCGGGAGATTAATCCTTACGCCCAAAATGGTAAATAAGTTTGAATTTATGATTGCATTTTTTATACAACTTCTACTTTCCATTCAACAGGTCTTATGAAGATTGAAGACTTGAAGCAATTGTTTAAGCTATCGAAGTGCGCGCCGACAGACGCTCAGACATATTTACTTAATTTACTCAACAAGTTTGAAGTGGCGGTCACGTGGGACAGCCGTACTCTTCTCATCCCATCCCTATTGCACGGCGAAGAAGATCTGCGCGCAGGGCTTCCCGGCTGTGATGTTAGGGTAGGCTTTGTGGACAGCTTTTGACGCCATTTATTTATTCATACATTTTGTCTTCTATTCCAGATTCCCGTGCGTTCGAGGGGTTGGGCCCTCAGAAAAGGTTCCGACAATTTATCGACCAATACATTGACAATCAATTTCCAGACACACCCTCTCTTTGATGCGCCAAAAATTCCTCCCATTTTATGCGTCGAAGAAATTCAGGTATCGATTCCACAGACGCCTCAATCTGTGAACAAAAAACAAATACAATGTACTGTTCGTGTGATTACTCGACCAAAACATTCTGTCCATCGACTTCTTTTGATGACATACTTTCCCAGCGGTTTCTGGTCTCGACTTATGGCCCGTATTTTAGGCGACGATTCAATCATTGATATCATTAGATCTTATTTTAAAATCCCGATCAACGCTCAGTCGGATCCTATCCTTCTGTCGCTATTCAATACTAAAGCCGAATGGCTTTGTTGGCAGACAGGAGTGGCTTTGAAACACTTTCACTCATATTTGATTCGTGTTAAAGAAGTCTTTTCTCACTTACCTCTCAATCCGTATGACTTTTATAACATGAAATTTCTGCTCCAAATGGATGGCCAGTGGAGAGACATTCAAATTAACAAATCATCTTTACTTGAGATTTATTTACCAAATCATTGCTTATCTGTTGAGACAACTGATTCGGAAGGCGTTAACAGATGTTATACATTAGAGCCGAACCAAGAAATGGTCGCCAAATTACTCGTTATTGTTGTCGAACATATGGACACACTATTAGAGGATTGGTATCCAACGTTAGGCACACGCTTTGTCCACACATCCGAAGGAAAGTTTTTAGTGACACGTCTTGTTCCCTGTTCTTCGTGTCTTATGAGCCAAACGCCTTCTCCCAATTCAAACAACTTCTTCCCAACTCTAAACACAACTCCAAACCAATTGCGATCGCCGGACGATAACGAGTGGCAAATGCTTGACTTCGGCAACGGAGGTGTCCAACGAAATATCGGTTCTTCCGATTCACGCGACAGCGGAATGGGTGGCGAATCACGCGAATCAAGTCGATTGTCATCCGTCGAAAGCGTTCAGAAAACGAGTCCTCAAAGCAATCAAAGTTACGATAAGAATAGCGGCGAAGAGACAGTCGTTTATTCGTTTTTAGTTGAAGAATGCATTTTAGCTGTTTATGAACAGAAGGCAGTCATTTGTCCCATTCATTCGAGGCTTAATATGCAGGCCATAGCGCCCGACACTGTCTTCTACGATCTCGGAGATCATTATCTCATAAAACCCGATAAACTAAGATATGGCAAACTGTTAGGTCGCGGGGCGTTTGGCTTTGTATTCAAGGCTAGTATTAAAGACTCGACTAATTATAACGTATTGGACGTAGCGATGAAAATGTTGCAACCGGTAGATCCGGGTCACAGCGCTCGCAAGTCAGACATCGTTGCATTCAAAGCGGCTCACAATCGGTGGGAAAGAGATCCCATGCAATACGCCTGCAAAGCATACTGTACTGCACGACAAGAATTGAATATTCTTCTTCATCTGAAGCATCAGAATATCGTACCATTGGTTGGATTGTGTACTAAACCGTTGTCTATAATCCTTCAATTAGCGCCAATGGGTTCTCTCGACCACATCATTAAGAATTATCGTCGATCTGGAGTGCAGTTCAATGTATTGGTTCTGCAAAAGATAATGCTTCAGATCTCGAAAGCGTTGGAATATCTTCACAGACAGCGAATCATATATCGAGACCTCAAATCCGAGAACGTGTTGGTCTGGGAAATGCCTCAACCCTTCGAATCTTTCCATCCCTTCGATTGCCCTAAAGTTGACATAAAACTCGCCGATTATGGCATCAGTCGGCCATCGCTTCCCACCGGAACCAAAGGCTTCGGAGGAACTGAAGGATTTATGGTTAGAATTAGTTTTATATATTCAATATTTCGTAAACATTTTTGTGTAAAATTCATATCAATTTTAATTGAATTAAAGGCACCGGAAATCATGCGATACAACGGCGAAGAAGAGTATACGGAGAAAGTGGACTGTTTTTCATTCGCAATGTTTTTGTATGAATTGCTTACTTTACGGCTTCCGTTTGAAAATCAAGAGTGCGTTAAAGAGCATGTGCTCGAAGGGGGTCGACCGCCACTCGCCCAACGAGACCTCTCATATCCCAGTTATTTCATCGATATAATGACACTTTGTTGGGCACAACATCCCCGATCCAGACCATCGTTAAGTCAAATTGTGTCCATTATCTCTGCCCCAGAATTCACTCACTTATTGGATGTGATTTCTCTTAATGAAAATTATGCCGTTTTATGCGCTAAAGGAGTCAACACTTGTGACAATTCTTTGCGACTAATTCTCTCCAGAATTGGTAAACAAACAGATCTGATAACTTGTAATGACTTTTGTTGGACTAATTACGAGACAATCGCTCCATTGAATAACGTGACTGTAATGAGCGTATGTCTTGTGGACAATGAGATCTGGTTCGGCGACTCGAAGGCAGCGATTCATATTTATTGTGTCAAAACATTTGAGACAATCTCTTGTATTGAGTTAGAACTGGAGGACAACACTCCCACCGCTATTCATTGTATGTGTTACGTGAGTGCCATCAGACAAGTGGCCATTTCTAGCAGTAGCGGTCGGTTATGGATGTGTAGTACAAATGATCACAGTTTCAAAGAGATTGGAAACAACGGAATCGCCTTCTTATGTGTTGTAAACGTTGATATAAGCGCTCAAAACAGCGATTCCAGTAATTGCGAGCTTTGGTGCGGACAGTCTGAGGGCAACGTTGCTATTATTACTCTATCGGAAACTCTCATTAAATCCCAACACATTGTTAGCCATTACGACGACGACAGCACTGACTTCCGAACGCCAATCAGCGAACGATTTGATGTCTTCATGATTGAAGCGCTCTATCCATACGTTTGGACGTATTTATACCCCGGTATTGATATTCATTGAATTGAACGTGAATTTGTTTTATTAACTAATTGTGAACTTGTGTCATAAAAGGTTGCATTATATGGCAGTGGGATGTGAACGCCAGGCGAATCCTGTCCCGATTGGACTGTTCAAAGCTGGCGCCCTGTTCTGAGAGCTTAATGTCCATCAGTATTGAAGATCATTTGAGTCGTAAGTCTTGAAATGTGATGATTATAACCAATTCTTAGACGTGTAATGATTTCATGTGCTTTTGAAACAGCGGGCAGTTGTCGAGTGACGGCATTGACTGTATTAGAGGAGAGGTGTGAGCTCTATATCGGCACCACATTTGGCTGTGTTATTATAGTGGAGGGCAAGACTATGAGACCCATCACTGTGTTTCGGCCGTACGACGAGGAGGTCAAGGCTATCATTAGCTTTAAGCCAATGAAACGGCCCGTCTGTACGACCGCTTCCAATGAGTTTTTAAGCGACAAAACTGACGGCAAAGAAATGATCGCTACAATCGGTAGAGGATATCGATGTCTATTGAGTCGATTCCTTAGTTTAGATAAAAACAAATCCATTACACAAAGAGGTCTTCACTCTATTCTGTGGTCAA